ATTGAAAAATTATAACTATTCCAAACTTTTGATCAGTAGTAGTATTCGGTATGTGGCTAATTTTCTTCAGATGTATTGCTCATAATGTGTGTCTTTACAGCATATTCAGGTGGTTGGAAGCATCTTTGGAGATTCATTTTATGATCAGCAACTTCCATCCAGACAGACCAATGCCCTTTCAAACCAGGTACATGTGCTTTATGTACATGTGCATATTATGTATATACAGTTTAGTAGTATTACAGTAATATTTCTTTATTGATTTTATTTTAATAATTTGATGAAATTATATTAATAATAATAATAATAAATGCATAAAATAAATCACTAAAATTGATATTAGATGTGTTTTACCAAGTTGTTCTGCTGTATTTTTAAGAAATAATGCACATACAGTTTCATGGCCTGTATGAATGAATGAATGAATAAATAAATATGTATGTATGAATGTACGTATGTATGTATAACATGTTACAATTGTATAATATGTTAAAAAAAATTTTATTTAATTTATTGTTCAAATGACTTTAAAACTCTCATGCTGATGGAGAAGCTGGAGCAGTTCAACATGAACATGATGGAGAATCCGGGCGGCTCTAGTCACTGTTCAACACTGAACTACACACAAGCAGCCATGATGGGTCTAACCGGGAGCCACGGCTGTCAGCAGGACGCACAGCAGCTTGGTTACAGTAGCCATGGCAACATCCCCAACATCATTCTCACAGGTATTGTGTGTCTTTTGCTTCAACATCAACTTCTCTATACAAATGTCTTTCCAAGAGATGTCAGAGAGGTACATTTATAATTGCACTGAGGGTCTTTAATATCTATACCTGTGCCTTTCAACCTTTTTGGGGTCTATCCATTATCCAGGTCCTTTAGCGCCCCCCACACAATAAGCATACTTGTTAATTATTCCAACAGGATTTCACTTAAATTTCTAGTTTGTTTCGCCTGCATCCTCATATGAGGACATTATATTTTAGTGAATTTCTCTGAGACTATACATGCCACAGTTTTAAGTCTGGATGTCCTGTACAGAGCACATTCAGGGCTTTTCAGACATACTGAATGCTTGGATGTTTCACTATGAGCAATCCCTCTGCTTGGTCTTCAAAAATGTCTGATTTTAATGTAGTGACACTCTTATGGAAATATGATAGTATTTTGTAATTATCATTTAAATCTAATTTTTAAACTGTGTGTCATAAATCAACATCTCGGGAAAATGTTATGGGGTTTCAAATCAAAATATGACTTTCTGTTACGAAACAGGACGTTGATTTCATACATGTCCTCATATGAGGACACCGGGACTAAAAGCATGTTTATTACGCATTTTGGGAGACACAACAAATGAACAG